TTAAATATTCCAATCTAATTGAATATTTAATACTCTCGATTCACTCTTAGCCGGAAAATAGATTGCATATTGTGTGACCCTATAGGCCTTCATATATTGACATAAATCTAATTTATGATCCTTACGAAACTCCTAGACTGCGTCGAAGGACGAACTCAAAATATGAAGTACGTTTACATAGACAAAGCAAACAAACCTTTAGTGTAGAATTCAATAGTGATACGGTCCCTTCATTCACGACCCACTCGATTAAGCTTAGGACTTGAATGTGTGTCTATCCAAACAGCTTAATCATTTTATCTCATCTTACTGGTTGATTTTATCAATTACATTTGAACACTATTTCAAATATAATCATATGCACTGGCCAGTGACTTTATCAACCCAGTATAGAGAAAACGAGTGTTCTCTCGAAACTATATTCGAGGAATGAATCCCATCTTGGCTCAACTACCAATTCCATGTATATCATGATCTACCCAACACAAGCCCGTGTCTACCCATAAGGGCGTAAGCGTTGGACTAGGTCTAAGTAAATCACTCTATACATGAATTGCGTATTGACCTCAAGTCAAATGATTATTACACCATTCTACACACCGTTACTCCCATAGACACATAAACAAATAGTTTATCGGTAGGGTATACCAAGACTCTCTAAAGTATCCATGTGTCCATCACGAATAACAATTATTCATAGTAGTGAGACATACTATATTCTCGAAGAATGTGATGCAGACCACATGTCAATCTATAACGTATCATTAATATCCCTTTCTTAATGATCATCGATTGAGGCAATTTAAGAGTTATACTCTATCGATTAACATCTCACTCTGTTAATTACAGTATTAACTCAAGGGAGCAATTAATTAATAAATTGCAAACAATCAAACAATTGTTTAATTAATTGCAATACCATAATTATAATCCAATACAATTATTAATGTGATCATGTATATATGTCCTTAAAATGATTGTCTCTAGGACACATATACCAACAAGAATAAGTTCTTTTATATTCTCCCACCGTAATTCTGGTGTATAATATGCACCAATATGAACATATAGTACGTACGGCTGTTAATCAAACACCAAATAGCAAGAAAAACACAAACACAATATTTACAAAATCACAAACACCAAATAGCAAGAAAAATTGAAAACAAGCAAACAAGCAAGAGAAACATACAAAATTAAGCAATTTCACAAAAACAAGAGAAATACAGAAATGAGGTCAATCAATTGTCTAAATCCAATGGCCTACTCGCCTTCCCCGGCAACGGCGCCATTTTGTTTATAGTGTTTTTAGGTAGTTGGTAACCGAGTTACCCAGACTCGGGTCGTTCTCAAAGGAAGGCTATTCGGACACAGATTCAAGCAACGATCGACTCTCACAAGAAAAGAAAATAAAAAACCTAAACACTCTCTACTCGCAATTTGGAGTTTAGATTAAGCTAAGAACACAATTTAAGCTAAGACGAAAGCAAGATTCAAACTTTATCGCAAGCAAGACCTCAATTTGCAAGAAAAAGGAAAATAAAAAGAAAAATAACAAGGTACTCCTAGATCCGAGATGGAAGGAAGACACTCATAGGTTCGGGAAAATCCAATCAAGCGGTCGTCACTCGTGATCAATTAATCGACCTCTCAATCAATTCTCGCTCACGCAATCAATAACAAAATCACATAATCCCTAGCCTACGAGGATGATAGCATAATCGACTCATGGACGTGCCTATCTTAACCCTAGAATAAATTCAATAAGTAAAGACAAGCAAGACTCACGAAATCATGGATCTTAAACGAAGTCACTAAGTCTCTAATGCATCCACGAGAAGAAATAAGCCGAAAAGTTCTAATCTTGGTGGAGAAATATTACAATAGAAATAGGGTCTTGGAGCCCTTAGAGAGAAAAAGAAAACTAGAGAGAGAAGAGAGAAAAAACTAAAAAAGAAAAATTTAGCAAATGAGGAATTTCTCTAAAAATACAAAACACATTGTCTATTTATAGCTACACCACAAACACACACATTTAATGAGGAAAACTCGCAGGATAGGTCGAACTCGCAAGCAAAGGTGGAATTCCGCGAGCATATTCCGCTAGCAATGCAAGATGGGCACGGACTCGCGGGCAACAGGTGGTTCGCGGGCGCGGGCATGCCGACTCGCGAGCAAGAGGCGCACTGGGCAGCACTTGCGGGTTACCAGCGTTTCGCGAGCGCAAAGTGTGGATTTGCGGGCAAGAACATGACGCGACACTCGCGGCTTCTGGTGTTCTCGCGCGCACGGAAGTAGAATTCGCGACCTGGGCGGAACACGCGGGCAAGCTCTCGCGCGCGGGATGAAGAAACTCGCGAACTGGGCACTGCATGAAGGACGCTCGCGAGTGCAGTAGGGAGTTCGCGCGCGCAGAATGCCGACTCGCGGGCTACTGGGTGTGCGGCGTGTGCGTGCGGGCTATGCGCGTGGCTCGGGCAGGTGCGCGGGTCTAGTCCCAGTCGTGGCCCGGGACGGTTCAGGTGGCTCGGTTGGCTCGGTCGGGTCAGTCGGGTCAGCTTGGTCGGCTCGGTTCTGACAGCTCGTTTTCCCAAGCTCGGCAAAATGGACCTAATCAACACCAAAAAGACAAGAAAAATTCGTCGAACCACAAAAACACAAAACGAGAATAAAAATGCACAAAACACGATAAAATGGACCAGTCGACACTAAAACTGACCTAAAAAGACTCAACGAAGGCACATAAAACACACGTAAATAAGCACAAAAACACAATAAACAATAGGTGCCTTCAATCAACCAATGTTACGTCAATATATATATAGATAGATGTGTACCTTTAATCAAATCAAATATGTTATTGTTCCGAATCTTTTTTAAGTAAATTTTCTTTTTAAACAATTACGACATTAAAGTCAATTTTAAATATTTATTTATCTAATATGTCATGATATCAAGAGAGAACATATATATCCATTGTTATAAAATATAACTTGCATATATAATTGAATTAATTTGCAATTGTTATAATCGAAATAACAGAGAATGAACCATTAAAGTCAACAATGAAAAAATTGTAATTACAAATGGTAGATATAGCAAATTCGATTATTTTCAAAGAGTATGACACAAAAGAAAAATATTTAACAATAATAATGATAATTACTTTAAACATAATGACGATATCATTAAATAACAAAAATCAAAGACGTCATAGATTTCTTTAACCTTTTTAAAATTTTACAGAAAAAATACTATTAATTTCAATTTGAATTTTCAATCCAATATTTTTTTTACTTAATTTTATTGGTCATAGAGTTGGTTAACAGTATTAAATATTGTATATCATTATTCAATACATTTATTATTATTTATCATAAAATACACCATTTTTTTGTTAAATAATGAAAAGAAAATTAAATTATACTATTAAATTAAATCTAATAATAAATATAATTTTAAGTAAAAAATAAAAAGTAACAATATTACTTGCGCACGCTGGATCTTTTTTTTTTTTTTTTTTTTTTTTGGTATAAAAAAGGGAGGCCAAAGACCTAAAGGATAATTAAGCTAGAACTCGTCGGGGATGAGACACCCCGATCATATCGTGGTCGAGCCATGCACCCAGGCCCGCGGGGGGTGAAGGAACGCGATGAAGACCCAGTGGGTAGGAAGACGCCAAGCTCGCCATATAGTCAGCCGCAAAATTTGCTTTTCTATGCACGTGCTCGATCCTGACGTGCCAATCTTTGTGGACCAAGTTACGAACAACCTGAACAAGTGCATCATGAACGCCATACATACCTCCAGACCCAAGGATCATAGTTGCAACGCATTGGCTATCCACCTCGGCAAAGACTTGTCGAAAGCCCAAGTCCCACGCCAGTTGAAGGCCCTGAAAAATACCCCAGAGTTCTGCACTTGTGATAGTGTTATACCCGATATTCATGAAAAACCCTCGATCCATTTGCCCGACTCGTCTCGAAGGAGACCCCCGGCACTGCTTAAGCCCGTGCTGTGCTGAAAGGCTCCGTCTGTATTCACCTTGATCCACCCCGGATCAGGCGGGTACCACCGTATCATACGCGTCACATGAATGCTAGCTCCCACCTTTCGAAAAGCTTCAGTCGCTCGGGAATAATCACATATATCTTCATCCCTCTTGCTTCGGTTGTTTCAATAAAAATGGAGTGATGAGGCCATCAGTTAAGGCACGAAACGACGTCAGAGACGCTTTCAGTATGCTCAGAGCCTGCACCAAATCGCAAAACGAATATGTTATCAGGATAAAAAGTGCGAAAAAACATACTCATAGTCAAATGTTTTATTTCCCAAACATGAGCACTAATCTAACCTCGTTTACGCCAACAACCAGCTCAAGTTCTTTGACATTAGATAACGGGATTTTGAGGTTATTGAGAACAGAGAGTCCAGTGGCTGAAGACAATGGCGTCACAGATAAATCGTCGGTCACCATATACATAGTTTGTCCTTTTACATATTTTGGCTGCCATGATGAAAGCTTCCATTTGTGGTACTGCATAGAGTAGACCACACGGCCTTCTGGAAACTTATAACAATTCACTTAAGAGCCACCAGATGGGTTCACAGAGTGCAAAGTATCACGACTATAATACAAATGACGAAAATCTTTTTCGTCCAGTGGGAGAAAGCGTGTTCTTGAATAGTAACACAATGATAACTTAGGCCGCAGTAGCTGGGCTTCCGTTTCGTCTATGTTATCCAAATACTTGTTGATTCCATTATTCCATACGCTTTTGCACAAATTGTCTATATTTGTAAGACAAGTGTCACAGCTCCATAGGAACTCGACTCCTCCTAAGGGGACAGCCAGAAGGCTAAACAGAAAATCTACAAAAGCACCATCAACTTCAGCAAACAATAGCTTATTAGCCGATACGATGGCTTTCACAGTCATTTTACGACTAAAAGTTTTCTTATGTATATTGACAAAAGTTTCAATCTGTTTCTTGAGCAGATCAACAGGTGGCACAACTGTTGCGCACTTCATCGCAAATCCATTGTCTAAAATAAGTCAGACTCCTTTCCTCGATCCCAATTGTATCCATAATGCCCAAGTTGTGGAAAATTTGCACAGCAAAACCCGTCGTGTTAGGCAATACTTGAAGATCATCAGTGATGATTAAGGATGCTTTGCTTGCTATAAACACACCATCACCACTATCATCCACACCTCTCACAAAAAATTTGTTGTCCAACTGTTTCCGCAATCGCATTTCAATCCGCTGAAGTACATGCTTACATTTGAATATTCACTAAATCTAAATTTTGTGTCTCCACATTTGAAGTACCTTGTGGGCGGCGTGTCGCCAATGTTGATTTTTAGCCGACGACATTCGACCTCGGATGACCTTATCGGGTTGAGAAGCATGTTCTTACAGTCATCTGACGAGAAAAGGCCACTGTCCAAATTGCGTAAGCCGTTGTACAAAGTGGTTAAGCTTCCTACAACAGGGGCCTCATCACCATAGTGTTTGTTCAAGACTCGAACGATAGTCCCTAATGGCAAATCAGGAAACTCAACAAAACATCTGCGAAATCGCTATCGACCTCCACATAAAGAACCTTAGTTTTTTGCTTGTTTATAATGGCTTTCATGGTGAACTTGAAATCTTTGGGGTTAGACATTCTGTAGAGAGTTTTCGGTACAATTGTAAGAGGGTCGAATGATAACTAGAAATATTAAGATTATGCTGTTGGTCTCACATTTTTATAAGCATAAAAATATCCAAATGTCACTTTCACTAATTTTCATTACACCTTGACCTTCCATGTCCTTTTCATCTATAAAAGTGGCCTCTCTTCAGTTTAATTCATGTATGGATGTGGTATGTGCAGAATAGCCTGAAAAATGGTCGTCTAATGTGTTCGAAAATAACCTCGGCCTGTCGTCAACATTGATGTACACCGGAACCATTAGTTGATTATATTGGCTAATCAAATTCTTTATTTGCTATGAAGGTCAGAATGAGTAGATATATATATTTTCAATATCAAGTTACAAGGCTAAGCTATTACTACAACAACAAATTAACGAGAAAGAAAAAAATTTTACAACTGAGCAAGACAACTAATTAAGTAATAAAGAAAAAACAACATGTTTATTATTTCATTATGATGCATATTCCAATTGACAAGATTAATGAGGAATAAACGATGAGGAATTGGTTCAAGTGTAGAAACCAGAAAGTACCTTAAATATGGAGTGAACAACCTGAAGTAGAGACCACTTTTTTCCCACCCTCTTGGAAAGATGACTCAATTAACCAATGCGAGTTTCTGCAAAACTCAAATTCAAATCAATTTACATGAACAGTTAAACAAAGAAGAGAGTTCGATGAATGTTGGTGCATGAATGCCAATATATCTTCTAATTTCAAGCAAATGGAAACGATCATTTCATACAAATGATGGACATGTCTGCTCTAGGTCGGCCTGTTCCTTGAGCTAGAATACGAGCTCCTCGACTGGGTTGCTCACTTCTGATCATACTAGAGCTATCCTAGACCAGCCTAGCCCAGCTGCATTCTCAAGGCATGTCTGCCGAGTTATTCTGAGTGCTACATCAGCTGGGAAATGGTGAGGATTTTCATCAGTGATAGAATTAAGAATTGTTGTAACATAAATTCTCACTGGTTTAGGTAGTAAGTACAACTCTGTGATGGTCATGTGAAGTCAAGGGTAGAGCCATATACACTCTTACATAAGTTCACACGTTGTTGCTACATTCTCAGCGTCTTCCCCGCAACACTTGTGTTGTCAGCTCTAAAACCGTTTTCTGGGCCCAAGGATGTAATGTTGACGTAATTTTAATATTAGTCTTATTGAACTAATAGTATACATTTTATTATCAAGTCGGAGTGGAAACTTATATATGGCTGTACCAAGGGAGGGCCTTGAAGAGCTTTTTTTTTTGGTGGCTTTAATCTTTTACCAATTACAAAGTGTGCTGAGATTATGTAGTTTATTATAGACTTTCATCACCCAAGGAGAGATTCTTCATACCATTCTGGTTATGGCATCCTAACAAACCATTCTGATGGTGTTAAAAGTTAAGAATAAGTTCTTTTATATTCTTCCACGGTAATTCTTGGTGTATAATTACAACTTTATTGCATGGAGAGAGAGAGAGAGAGAGACAGAGAGATACCCGTCTTTTCCACAATATGTCTTACTGTATTTGTATATGAGATTATCACGAACACTCTGGAGTGACGGCATGGTCTTAGACTTTCGAGCCTCTCTGAAAGAATTCATATAATATAAGAAAAATTAATTAGTTGGCACTTTCAAAGATAAAAACATGAGTTCTTATAGGATCAACTACTACTCTGTAAATGAACCTGAATTTGGGTTAATGTTCGAAACTAACTTATTGTTTAACATATTACCTCACAATAAATTTAGCAACAAGTTGAGTAACTTCAACTGCATCTTCCGAGTGAGGGATCATTGATAAACCCCACTCGAAAGCATTTTTCTGCACAAAAACGAAGTGAAAATTAGTTAGTTTGCATTCAAACAACCAATTTTAACCAACTCAAGACAATGTAGAAGGCCCACTGTCGATAAAAATTTGATACGAACAAGTGAAAATTTGATAAAAATATACAAAGGTAATATACCTCTAGTGCCACTTAACAATTTGATAAAAATATACAAAGGTAATATACCTCTAGTGCCACTTAACAGCAGTCACCGGATATTTGTGTTGGGCTCAGATTCGCAAATGCGGAAGATGTAAATTAAAATATCAAGGTAAAATGGTGAACAATAAACCCCAATCCCAGCAACTCAAGAATGACAAAAGAAATCTCTTGCAATAAAACAGGAATAATTCTTTTCTGATGTGGAAGATCATAATAAATTGCGACCACGAAACATACTAAGAATATCCCAAATAAATAAAATATGCAAGAAACAAGACACCAAGATTTAACGTGGAATTTTCTGATGTGGAAGATCAGATTAAACTGCGACCACAGAACATACTAAGAATATCCCAAATAAATAAAATATGCAAGAAATAAGACACCAAGGTTTAACGTGGAAAAACCTTCAATTAGAGGAAAAAACCACGGCACAACCTCCGAACAATTCTACTATATTTTCAAGATAATTACAATATCTTTTCACAATCCCTTACACTAAAAATGTAAAATATAGTGACCCAGTGAGACCTCACTCCTAAACAAGGAATAATAGAGTTGATACCCAACCCGTTGTATTTTTCCCACACCCACAGGATTTACTCAAACACTCTATTTTTATCTCACTGAAAAATAGCACTCACAAGAAATATTATTCTTGTTCTCTCGCTCTCACTTTTTCTTCTCTTCCTTGGTGCGTTCTCCTTTGCTGAAGAACCTCACTATTTATAGTGAAGATATCACATAAACCTGCACCATATAGCTATTATTCTTCTTTTCGGTGTCAACTAAAGATTCCTTTTTTTTTATTATTATTTTATTTATTATTTTATTTTGTTTGTTTGTGGCTGTACAACATGACAAACTTTTGTTTGTTTATGTTTGTTATGGCTGGATTTCACAATTCTCCCCCTCCAGCCAAAGGGTAATATTGCCAATCTTCACATGCATTCCATGCCGATCAACTCGGCACAAAGCTGAAGCTTTTCTCATGTTACAACTTTTGTCATCATGTCAGCAGGATTATCGTCAGTGTAAATCTTTTCTAACCTGAACTGTTGTTCTTCCACTGCTTGACGTAGCCAATGATATTTGACATCAATGTGCTTCGTGCGAGAGTGGTACATCGCATTCTTACTCAAATCTAATGCGCTTTGACTATCGCAATGGATATCATACATTTCTTGCTTCATTCCCAATTGTTGAAGAAACCTCTTAAACCAAAGCAGGTCTTTTCCTGCTTCTGTTAATGCAATATACTCTGCTTCGGTAGTCGACAAGGCAACAGATTTATGCAATTTAGATTGTCAAGATACAGCTCCCTATGCAAATGTAGACAAACCCTGAAGTAGATTTTCTACTGTCCAGGCCACCTGCCATATCTGCATCTGTATAACCTTCAAGAATTGGGTTTCCTTTGTCGAAGCTCAATGACTTATTTGCACTGTCTTTTTGGTACCTTAAGATCCACTTCACAGCTTCCCAATGATCCTTCCCAGGATTGGAAAGATACCTGCTAACAATTCCAACCGCGTGAGCGATATCTGGTCTGGTACAGACCATGGCATACATCAAACTCCTGACTCCCGATGAGTATGGAACACCCGCCATAGCTTTTTTTTCTTCTTGACACGTAGAACAACTTCGTTTGCTGAGTTTAAAGTGATTAGGGGTGGGATTTTATACCCGAGAACCGGAGAACCGAACCGGACCGAACCGAAAATAACAGGTTCGGTCCGGTTATTTAAAAAAAAAACTATTTTTGCGGTTCGGTTATTTTTTGCATGTTTTCGGTTCCGGTTCCCAGTTCCTTTCCAAGAGTATTGGTATTAACCGAGGAACCGGTTATATATGTGAGAATATTCATGTTTTATATGTTTATATGTATAAAATCGGTTCCGGTTCTTGTACTTAATATTCAGTCCTTCATTTTTGCATTCGGTTCTCGGTTTTTTCATGATATTTTTAGTCCGTGAGTTGCATTTTTTTGACTGGTTCTTAACTCAAAACCGATTTTTTTCGGTTATTTTTTGTTATTCGGTTAACCTAATAATCGAAAAACCGAACCGTTATAAACCGGTTCGGTTCTTTTTCGATTCCTGCATTTTTTTAGGTGCTAACCAAACCCCTTTTTTTGGTTCGGTTCCGGTTCTTGAAAAAAAAGATAATAACCGGACCGGTCCCAGGCCTAGAAGTGATTGGCCGAAGGTATATTGACCGGTTTAGCCGATTTCATGTTGAATCTCTCCAGAATTCGATTCACATACCGTTCTTGCGATAACCATAACCTCTTGGATTTTCGGTATCGCATTATCTGCATGCCCAAAATTTGTTTCGCAGGGCCCAAATCCTTCATTTCAAAGGACTTTGCTAAATCCTTCTTCAGAACACCAATCAACTTCATATCTTGTCCCACTATCAACATATCATCTACATATAACAAAAGGATAATGAATTTATCACCTGAAAATTTCTTATCGAACACACAATGATCTGCATCAGTCTAGGTATATCCATGGCTCGCCATAAACGAGTCAAATTTCTTATACCATTGTCTTGGAGCTTGTTTCAGTCCATACAAGCTCTTCTTCAATCTGCAAACCATGTGCTCCTTTCTAGTCTTCTCAAATCCTTCTGGTTGCTCCATGTAGATTTCTTCATTTAGTTCTCCATGAAGAAACGCAGTCTTCACATCTAGTTGTTCAAGCTCCAGATCCAAGTTAGCCACCAATCCGAGTACTACTCGAATAGAGCTAATCTTTACAACCGAAGAGAATATCTCATCAAAGTCTATTCCTCGCTTTTGTCCAAATCCTTTCACGACTACGCGAGCTTTGTACTTCAACAGCTTGTCACCATCTTTCTTAAGCTTGAACACCCATTTAATTCTTCAAGGCTTTTCTGCCTTCCGGAAGCTTCACAAGCTCATATGTTTCGTTTTTCACCAGTGAATCCATTTCTTCTGGCATGACTTTCATCCACTGTGATTTATCTTTATGAGTTTGTACTTCTTCAAAGCTTTCTGGCTCTCCTTCTTCAGTGATGGTAATATACATGGAACTAGGGTATCTCGTAGATGGTTGGATCATTCGGTTTGACCTCATGAGCTGAGGTGGAGCTTCGAGGTCTTCTTGCTCGACACCTTCACCATCACCATCTTCCATTGTTGGCTCATCATAAACCCTCAATTCTCCATCACACTTTCCCCCTGCTGTGGCATCTCCAGGAGGTTTGACAGGTGAAAGATCCACCTTACCACTTGGTTCTTGTTTTTGGTGAAGCAGAATCAGACATAGTTTCTTGCTCATGGAACACTACATCTCTGCTTCTGATAATTTTTCGATTTTCTGGATCCCATAATCTGTAGCCAAATTCCTCATCTCCATAGCCCAGAAATATACACGGAATGGCTTTATCATCAAGTTTTCGTCTCTGTTCCTTGCTTACGTGAGCAAAAGCTTTGCATCCAAACACCTTTAAATAAGAGTACTTAACATCATGTCCGGACCATACTCTCTCAGAGATATCAAAACCCAAAGGAACAGATGGAGATCGGTTGATCAGGTAGCACGCTGTTAGAACAGCGTCACCCCAGAATGGCTTAGGTAGTTTAGTCATTCTTAACATACACCTCACTTTCTCCATAATTGTTATGTTGATTCTTTCAGCCACATCATTATGTTGTGGGGTTCCAGGTACAGTCTTCTCATGCCTGATGTCATGCTCGACACAATAATTCTTGAATTCATGGGAAGTATACTCCCCCCCCCATTATCTGAGCGAAGACATTTCAAAGGTTTACCACTCTGTCTCTCCACCATAGCATGAAACTTTTTGAAGTATTGGAAAACTTCACCCTTCGTTCTCAAGAAATACACCCACAATTTTCTTGAAACATCATCAATAAATGTCAAGAAATATCTGCTACCACCTCCATGAGTCCACATACATCAGAATACACCATCTCCAACACATTCTCTTTCAGATTCGAGGTTTTGCTGAAAGACACTCTATGATGCTTCCTAAATAAACAATAATCACAAAAATTCAGTTTTGAATCTTTGACAAATGGGATGAGACTTTCTTGCCAAAATATGCAATCTTTTTCCGCCAATATGAGTCAGTCTTTTGTGCCACAAATTTGGAGAGGCATCATCTTCGACTGCATTCAATCCACCCTTGATCAGCTTCACTTGAGTTCTGTACAGTGTCGATCTCACTGTACCTCTAGCAGCTAACAAGAATCCTTTGGTAAGCCTCCACGTACCGTTACCAAAATTGTTAAAGCCTGCTAGATCAAATGCATGCACAGAGATCAAATTCAGACGTAAGTCTGGTATACGTCGTACGTCCTTCAGTGTTATTGTGCACCCAATATCAGTTTGAATGCACATATCACCAACTCCCGCAATATTTGCAATGCTGTTGTTGCCCATCTTTACTCTACCAAAGCCTCCTTTGTATAGATAAAAGAATTCCTTGTGAGAGGTTGCATGTTAGGATGCTGCTGAGTCAATGACCCATTCAACACATGAATCTGCAACGTGACACTCTTCTTCTTCAACAGAGAGCAACACCACTTCCCCATTGATCACAGGGGTTGCGGTATTTTCACCGTTCTCTGATCTGTTGTTCCTCCAACTTTTGTTCTTCCAGCCTTTGCATTTTTTTTAGATATGCCCTTCTTCACCGTAGTGATAACACTTGAATTTTCTCCTGGATTGAGATTGTGATTTATCTCTGGATTTGTTATCTCGGCCTCTGCTTTTACTTCTCTCCCTGGTTTATGTGACCAAGGCTTGGGAGCTGCTTGCCCCAGAGTCTTTTGTTCTTGTTTTTTCGTTAAACATACTGTCTTTGACTTGGGTCAAAGTCAGCTTTCCCTCAAGAGCAGAGTTGTTCAACGAGACCACCAGAGTCTCCCAGCTATCCGGTAAAGAACTCAAAAGTAACAGTGCCTGCAGCTCTTCATCAAGTTTCATTTCCATGGTAACAAGTTGGTTCACCATATCTTGAAACTCATTCAAGTGTTTTGCAACTGATCTTCCATCCCGATAAGATTTACAAGCTTTCTAATGACAAAACCTTTATTCTGTGCAGTCTTCCTCTGGTACATCTGTTCAATTTTGTTCCACAAAGTATGAGCTTTCGACTCTGTGGAAACATGGTGGAATATACTGATATCCACTCACTGCCGGATTAAACTGACAGCATTTCTGTGTAACTTTTTCCAATCGTCGTCCTTCACATCATCCGACTTGTTGTCTCTCTTTTCTACAGGATCGTACAGATCTTTGTAGAAAAGTATGTCCTCCATTTTTGGCTTCCAAATGGAGTAATTTGTTGCTGTGAGTTTCACCATGGTACCCACGTTCTCCTCCATTTAATTTACACTGGCCGATACAGAGCCCAACCTGGCTCTGTTACCACTTGTTGGGCTCAGATGCGCAAATGCGGAAGATGTAAATTAAAATATCAAGGTAAAATGGTGAACAATAAACCCCAATCCCAGCAACTCAAGAATGACAAAAGAAATCTCTTGCAATAAAACACGAATAATTCTTTTATGATGTGGAAGATCATATTAAACTGCGACCATAGATCATACTATAAATATTCCAAATAAATAAAATATGCAAGAAATAAGACACCAGGATTTAACGTGGAAAACCTCCAATCAGAGGAAAAAACCACGGGACAACCTCCGAACAATTTCACTATATTTTCAAGATAATTACGATATCTTTTCACACTTTCTTACACTAGAAATGTAAAATATAGTGACCCAGTGAGATCTCACTCCTAAACAAGGAATAATAGAGTTGATACCCAAACCGATGTATTTTCCCACACCCACAGGATTTACTCAAACCCTCTATTTTTATCTCACTGAAAAATAGCACTCACAATATATATTATTCTTGTTCTCTCGCTCTCACTTTTTCTTCTTTTCCTTGGTGCGTTCTCCTTTGCTGAAGAACCTCACTATTTATAGTGAAGATATCACATAAAACTGCACCATATAGCTATTATTTTTCTTTCCGGTGCCAACTAAAGATTCCTTTTTATTATTATTATTTTATTTATTATTTTATTTTGTTTGTTAGTGGCTGTACCACATGACAAACTTTTGTTTGTTTATGTTTGTTATGGTTGGATTTCACAATTTGCGTGCTTGAAATGTCAAACATATTCCTAATACTAATTGATTCGATAAGAAGTTAATAAAAATGCTCAGATGTCGGCAAAATGCAGGCTCGTACGATTTGGAATCCTACTTGGTGAAAAATCATGCTAGCATTTGGGTTGGATAAAATATAATGTGAATCTAAATCAATAATTTCAGTTTGGACATTCCATAAATATTCAAAAGTTAACTTGGGCAATTCCATAATACTTTGACTATTATAAGCCTTAATTTGATTTGTAAACTTACTTGCTATTGTTTATATGACTATTAATATAGCCCCAAAAATTTGTTTTGGAATCTCTCACTTTTCTAAATTAAATTTTACAATCAAAATGATTATTTTATCAAATTTTTATACATACATATTTAATTTATATATAATATAATATATCAAATTATATCTTGATGAACTTTGATTTGACATCTATATTATACATATAAAATAATTAATAATTATATTTATATTTATAATTATAATTAAATTATCTATTAATATTAATGGTAAAAAAAATAATAAATTAAACTAACTTAACTACAAAGTAGTTATCTGATATAAATTACAAAAATATATAATATAAGATGGTAAGTTATGTAAGTTATAGTGTCAATTTAAATATATATATATACATATATAATATATTTTTCCAAAAAGTATTTAAAAATAAAATAATATTTGTTGTTATTATTACTTAATTTGAAATATAATTTTTTTAACAAGTACATGTGTAGTGCACGAGTATTGTACTAGTAAATTTAATATATAAACAACATTAATCATAATTGACCTACTGTTTTTAAAATTGGACAATCCGACCGGGTGGATTGGGAATTTATCAACTGGGTCCAATACGCTTGAATAAAATGTTCGCTAGTGCACTGGGTTAATTCTGGGTGATGGAATTAGGTTACTGTCCATATCGATTGAATTACTTTTAGATAATATTTTGAATTTTTTTACAACTGATCTATAAATCTCAAGCAATCACTATTGAAAATTCTAACAGCCGACTATTGGAGTTGTCCTAAGATGACTCTCTTATTGTTTTATTAAATCTAATTGACATATTAAATTATGAAATTATGAATTTTGAATAACAATCAAACATATATGAAAGTATGCACAACAACTAATTAAATAAAATTGTGGGTACTAAAATTGAAAAGCAGTTAATATGGAGTATGAGATTAAAAATTGAATACAATTATGAATGTAAAAGAAAAAGGGGAAAAAAATTGAAGTTATAGAATGGGTTACTCATCTACAAAATAAAGTTAAACGAAATATGAAGCTATAGTTTAGTATCAGGTGTGTAACCCACAAATAAAAGTTATCCTTAAGTCAAAATGTAATTAAAAAAATCTATAATAGTGATTTCGGGCACAGTTTTGTAAATGCTTTCGTTGTGCTTGATGCTCTTCCTGTTTTCTCTATGTCCGGTTTTCAATTGCCTAAGTCTGTTTGCAGAACCATTGCTAGCTTGTGTGCGAATTTTTGGTGGAGCAAGGGACATGATCGAAGCAGGGGTGTTCACTGGAAATTTTGGGAGGCTGTCACCATTCTAAAGGATGCTGGAGGTCTTGGCTTTAAAGACCTTCTGCTTTTTAATGATAGTCTGATTTTGAAACAGATTTGGAGGATCATCTCAAACCCCAACTTGTTTGTGAGTGTAGACAAATAAATTTTGAGCCAATTAAATGGCGACAAGTGTCAAATTTCATGTCATAGTCAATTTTCTATTTTATTTGGGAAATTAATCAAATTTTAATTCCTAAATTAAATAGTTAATTAATTGATTATTTAATAAATATCGTTGGCCAATTAAAGAATGCCACATGTATATTTTGAAGGCCAATTAAAGAATGCCACATGTCATTTTGGGAGAATTAAAATAAATATTTATTTCTTTTAATAATTATTAA